GGTCAGTAAGTGTAGATTTACTTAGACTTGTGACGTCTTGGTATGTGTTTTTCAGGGGCTGTACTGTACTCCGAGGTCACCCCAACCGAAATTCATAATACATAGACGGTGGGTTAGTGCCTGTGGGTTTTTTAAGTATTAGTTTGGATTATCAAATCGAAGCTCCATAGGGTCTTCTCGTCTTATTTAGGTATATCCGCCTCTTCACGGATAGGTCAATTTCACTGATTAAAAGTAAGAGTTAAACCCTCGTGTGACCATTCATACAAGTCCCTATTTGGAGAACAAGTGATTATGCTACCTTTGCACGGTCAGGGTACCGCAGCCATTAAATGTGTCACTGGGCAGGCAGTGCCTCTAATACTGGTGATGCTACAGGTGATGTTTTTGGTAAACAGGCAGGAGTTCCTCTTACTTTTTTTAATCTTTCCTGGAGGCATGCCTGTGTTGGGTTGACAGTTTGGGTCATAGATGAGTTAAACTGTAGGGCATAACGATTGGGCTGTTCACTAACTAGTTATTTCAGTCTGAGATAAGCTTATGCGGGGAGAATAATTTCATGTTATTTACATTAATATTATTGCTTCAACTAAGTAATAGATTAGTCCAGTGTGTTTTAGTTCAGTGGGATGAATAGAATTAAGAGTAAGTATTGAGCTTAAATGCTTTCTTAATTGATGGCTGCTTTTAGACCATCTATGGTAGTGGGATGTTTTACTCTGTATTGAAGGTTATTTCCTAGAGTCTCAAGAGCTGTCCCTCTTTAGACTCACAATTAAATTTATGGGAGAATTAAATGGTTCTCTAAGTAAATTAACTAAGATTCTGTCTTGGACAACCAGCTTCACCAGGCTCGGTAGGTTTGTCACCACTACCCATAGATTTTCCCACTATTTTGCCACAGACAGGTGTGCTCTTTTAGCTATCCTTGGGTAGCTCGCTTGGTTTCGGGGGGCATTGTCGAAGTTCTCCATATAAAGTTATTTCTAGTTAATTCATTATGCAGAAGGTAGAAGGGTTTATCTTTGCTTTTTTATGCTTTATTAGGTTTTTGTCTTTCCCTTACGGTACTATGTCTATTGCGCCTAAAGTCGACTGTACCTTTGTAATAGGTAAATGATTGAATTATTGTAGTTAAATAATATAGTTATATGAGGTTGGGGCTAGAGTTAGCTCCAAGCGATCAGTTACTGGGGAGATCTTCTGGGTGGAAGCCAGATGCTTTAGCTTAAGCTACAGTTGGATTCGTCCGAGCGCACTTTCCAGTACACTTACCGTGTTACGACTTGTCCCCTCTGTATCAGTGTGTAGTGGCTTATTGGCAAGATACTTTTATGTGATGCTTGAGGAGGGTGACGGGCGGTGTGTGGCTGCTTCATGGCCTTTATTCAGTCAAGCTCTCTATTCTTGATTTAGTGCTAAATCCACCTTAGGTCCTTAGATTTCATAAAGGTGCCCATCTGTCTCCTGGTCCCAGCACCTGGTTCTCCTTGGGGAGGCCCGGGCAGCATCCACCTTCTGAGCCTCTCCCTGGGGTCTGTCTCACTGTCAGATTCAGCTAATGCTGGAGGTCTCTGGATTTCCTCGGGGGAAAATGTCGCTGGTCCAAGCCTAGGCCCTGGTCCACTTCTCCACGAAGCCCACTCCCTCGGTGACACCATGCAGCCTCTCGGCTTTAACCACCATCAGGGAGCTGGAGACTCGTGTATACAGCCAGCCCTAGCCACTCCCTGAGCTCCAAACCGTCAGATCCCCCACAGCATCAAGAATGAGCCCCAGGCTCTCCAAGATCCTCCCTCTCACTGGTTGGGACCCAAAACCTTGGAGTCCCCGCCCCTCCTCTCTTCCTCTCACACCTTCCCCAAGCCTGTCAGCAACTCTGCTCATCAGCCTCCAAATCACCTAGGATGCTGCTCCCTGCTCCAGCCCACCCGGCCACCCAGAGCCCCACCACTGTTGTCACCTGCTACCTGCCTTGCTGCAGTCCCTCCTCCCTGACATCCCTGCTCTGTTCTGCCGCCTCCCCAAGTCTGTTTTCGACACAGCCCCAAGGGATCCCATAAAGGGAGCCAGGCCTTTCCTACCCTGCACCCAGCAAACTTTTGCCACCAGACAGGCACCAGATAGTGGAGCACTCTCTAGTTTGGAGCATGGGCCAAATGGGCTGAGGAATATTTCCCGGTGAAGACCTAGTAAGCCCAAATAAAGCAGGAGAATAGGCACTTCGGGAGGCTGAGGCAGGCGGATCACTTGAGGCCAGGAGTTCAAGACCAGCCTGGCCAACATGGTGAAACCCCATCTCTACTAAAAATATAAAAATTAGCCGGGTGTGGTGGTGCCTGCCTGTAATCCCAGCTACTCAGGAAGCTGAGGATCGCTTAAAACCAGGAGGCGGAGATTGCAGTGAGTTAGGATCGTGCCACTGCACTCCAGCCTGGGCAACAGAGCGAGACTCTGTCTCAAAAAAAAAAAAAAAAAAAGCAGGAGAATAGAGCAGCCATGAGCAGAGGGAGGGAGGGAGCCAGAAGGGGAGTCCAGGTCCAGAGGGGGCGGGGGCATGGGAGAGGGCAGCGAGGCTGGTGCTTTCAGTCCCTGGGAATCCTGAGGTTGGCCCAGAGCGCTGGGCAGAGTTTCCTCAGAGCTGAGGGCTGCATTTGATTTGTTTAAGGAGAGGGCCTGACAATGGTGGAAACTTCACAGGCGGCCTCCGGAAACAAAAGGACACGCAGCCTGCTGGGGTAGGGGAGGGGTGGCCGGGGACCATCTGCTGTGGAGGAGGGGAGTTGTGGGGCTGCTGCCACCTCTCCCCCGGCCACCACCACCGCCCCCGCCCCCAGCCCCTGCCCACAAGGGGAGGAGAAAGGCTCCCCTTGAGTGCAAAACCCGCCTCCCCCAGCCCACCCCCTCGGCCCAGGACAAAGGCAGGCACACGAGTCCCCGGCCCCTGCCACAAGGCCCACCTGCCACCCCGCCGCCCTTAACCAGCCGGAGGGTCGCCCAGTGTTGCAGTTAACCAGCTCAGGCCCGGTCCAGACATTCCTGCCCCATGGAGATGGGGAAACTGCAGGCCAAAAGGGGAGGGCCTTGGCCAAGGTCACAGAGAGAAGTGAGCCAACGGGTGAGAGAAGTGGGGAGGCGAGTGAGGACCTCCCTACCCTCCCACCTCCTCCTCCATCTCAGCATCCTTCCTTCAGCTTTAAAGACCAGACTTCTGGAGTCTGCCCCTCGCCCCTTGGGTCCTGCTGAGTGGCTTCATCTCCCGCCTTGGCTGAACCTGCTCTGTGTCTGCACCGTGATGTGGGAATGTCACAGGCGTCACAGTCGACTTCTGCGGCTTGCCATGAGGGTGAAACAAGCCACTCGCCTGGTCTGCAGCCCATAGCTGCCAGCACCCCCACTGCCACCCCACCGCCTGATTCATAGCTGGGATTGAGCTTGGGACACGGAGGGGTTGTTCTTGCTGCCTCTGCTGCCCTGGTTCTGTCAGGCACAGCCACCCAGGCTGAAGGCCAAGGACCCTCTCCTGTGGCCCAGTGGCCCAGGCCTCACGGGGTTCCCAAGTCTCAGCAGGGAAGGAAAGTGCCCAGACAGGAGCAAGGCTCTAGTTCCCACTGGGCTCTGACCCCTCAGGCCTTCTGCGTGACGCTGTGCCAGCCAGCACTTCCTCCTCTCTGGCCTCAGTTTCCCCATCTAGGGCAAGGGCATCAGCATGGTGATGGAGACAGGACAGGAAAAGGCGGTGGGCCATGTGAGGCCACGCTCCTGGGTACACAGACACATAAACAGGAAGGCCTGCGGGAGGGCCTGCCTCGGCGGCTTCCGCAGGAAGAACCAAGATCTCCCCAAGAGGAGAAGCTGTGTGGGGTCCAGAGAAGAGCTGGGGTGCTCGGGGCCAGCTGGGGAAGCATTAATCCTGGGTGCAACAGCCAAAATCAGGGCAGGGTGCCCTCTCCAGGATGGCCTGGCCTCCCAGGCATCCTCTCCCTGTCTTGGTCTTTCAGGAGGCCTAACTCCCTGCAGAGACTCAGTCACTTCCTCCTATTGAGCCAGCCTCCAAAGAGCGGCGGGTGTGTGTGTGTGTGTGTGTGTGTGTGTGTGCATGCGCACGCGGGCCGTTCTCCACCTCCCCAGCAACGGTCCCTAACACACGGCATCACTGACTTTGCTTGCGGAAGATACTGGATGCGAGGAGGGGAAGGGCTGAAAGGGACTCGGCTTGCCGGAGCCACACACCCATGTGACACCCAAGCCTCTTGTCACGGCATATCTAGCACACTCCAGCTCTGTGCATGTGAGCACGCGCACACACACAATCCCACACACCAGGCAGGCTTCCCGACCTCCTGCCACCACCCTCCACCCTAGCAGCACCCACTCTCCTTCCCTCCCTCTGAAGCAGCCCCGCAGAAAGCCAGCACAGGAGGCCATACATGGCACCCTCGGCACGCCCCGGGCAACAGAGGCACGGCGGCAGGGGCTGTCGGGAAGCCTGAAAGGATGCCTTCCCCCAGAACAGACCCCACCTAGACAGTCTCCCCTCCCCACATCTGCCGCCCTCAGAGCCTGGGCCAAGGACCCAGTGCCACGGGGCTCAGGTGGCCCTAGGGACAGCACCTAGGGCCTGGGTGGGGCAGCCTGGCCTGGGTGTGGGTCACGGTCAGGACCTCTTGGAGGCCTCCATCCCAGCTGCCCAACACTCACCATTGCCCCCAGTGCCAGGCTGGGCCTTGGTGGCTGGGAGTGAAGCCCCCACAGGAGAAGCTAGGAATAAAAGAACCCCCGGGAGAGACCCAGGGCCAGCCTGGCCCCCAAAAGTGGTGGAGCAGTGGGCCCTGGGTGCTGAGATCCGGAAGAAGGAAAGGGGAAGAGGATCCCAGATTGGGCAGGTATTGGGCAGCTTCTCCCACGAGGCAGTCAGGGACCCCAGCCCAGGAGAAAGGCCTCTGAAAATCCCTTAAGCCAGGGACCACTTCCAGGGCCCAATGTCACCCACTTGTCACCTGTTCCTTGGTCCTGGAAACCCACGTGTCAAGCAGCAGCTCCAGGCGCAAGCGGTGGAAGGCCCGGGTCGTCTTAACTGCGATGAAGACATCGCCCAGCTGTAGTTCAGGGAGCCCCAGGCTCTGCTGGCTCAGCTCGGGGGTCTCCTGCACCCGCTGCGGGGTCAGGCTCAAGTGGTACCGCAGACACAGGAGGCCCATGCACAGGAGGGTGAGGAGGGCTCCAGCCAGGCCCCGCAGGAGCCGGCACTGCATTGGTCGGCCCTGGGACCCCAGACAGCTCAGCCCCCAAATCCCAGCGAGACGGGGAGGGAGGCTGGTCAGGCAGGGGCTCCGGCAGAGGCAAAAATCTGGCAAGCATCAGGGGCTGGCAAGGAGGAAAGAGGTAGGAGCTGAGACTCTGGACCCGGAGGCTGAGCCATGGCAGCACGATCTCGACCGCGCCAGCCCTCCACCTGCTCCCGGCCAGCCGGCCAGAGCCTCCGGGACTGCCTGGCCCCGCCCCACTCAGCCCGAGGGGCGGGGCCAGACGAAGGGAACCCCAGGCAGAGGCGGCTGAGAGGAGGCACCAGCAGAAGGGGCAGCCCTGGCTCTACCAGCTGCTGCGGTGAGAGGAAGTCACCACAAACCCTCCGTGTGCGGTGGAAGGGAGGGTCCTCCAGGTCCGTCCACGCCCCAAGACACCTGTCAGCTTGGCCCATTCAACACCCATTACTTTGGTGTCCTGCTTCGTCCGGCGCCCAGCTTTTGCTCAGTTTCCCTCCGGGATGCTCCCCTCCCACCAGCCTCACCCACATTCCCTCCGCTAGGTTGAATTCTATCTGAACTTTAAAGCTCAAGGCTTCCCTTCTCCAGGAAGCCTTCCCTGATAACATCTGGGGCCCCCGTGGTAGTTCGCTCAGATCCTGTGGTCTTTAGAACAGCACTGGGACTGTCACTCCCAGTTTATGGCTGAGGATGTAAGGCACAAAGGCACAGAATGAGCAGAGATGATCCAGCGGCTCGGCTGCAGAGCTGACGGGACACAGGCCCCTGGTTCTCAGGAGGTCCTGTCCCCCCGTGGCCCTGCCCATACCCAGCCTCACTCCCCAGTCTGGAGCTGCTGCTCTCCCAGCACCCGGTCAGTGGACAGAGGGCCTTCTCCAGCTACCACCTCCGTCTTGTTTCGGACAAGCTCACTCACACCTCCTCCGTCCGCCGCTCAAAGCCTGCACTGGCTCCCATTTTCTTCAGAACAAAAGCCAAAAAAGCACTCAGCAGCCCAAAAGGCCCTGCGTGAGCTAGCCCCCAAGTTCCTCCCACCCCGTCCTGCTACTCACTCTGCTGCACTGCAGACCCCTGGGATCCCGGCTGTCCCAGGCACATGGCTGCCACAGGACCTTGTCACTTGCTGTCCCCACCCACAACCCTCCCTAGAGACCTGCTCATCTCACTCTCCCACTCCCTCTGGGCTTTACACAAAGGTCACCATCTCTGTGAGGCCTTCCCTGGCCACTATATCAACATTGCAACCCCTTGCCCCCTCCTTCCCAGCCCCCCAGGCCTGTCCTTCCCAAGCCTCCATTTTTTTATTTTTTGAGATGGAGTCTCACTCTGTTGGCCAGGCTGGAGTGCAATGGCACCATCTCCACTCACTGCAACCTCTGCCTCCCGGGTTCAAGCAATTCTCCTGCCTCAGCCTCCCAAGTAGCCAGGATTACAGGTGCCCACCAGCACATCCAGCTAATTTTTTTGTATTTTTACTAGAGACGGGGTTTCACCATCTTAGCCAGGCTGGTCTTGAACTCCTGACCTAGGGATCCACCTGCCTCAGCCTCCCAAAGTGCTGGGATTACAGGCATGAGCCACCAAGCCTGGCCCAGCCCCCTTCTTCACTATTTTCTCCATCACGCTTTTCGTCTTCAATATCCTGTATGTCTTATTTATTGTCTGTCCTTCTCATGAGACTATCAGGGCAGGATTTCTGTTTTAATCACTGAGTCCCTAATCTCCAGTGCCTAGGACAGTGCCTTGCAGACAAGAACTCGATCAATATTCATTCAACACAACAAAGTACCAGGTGGCTGGTGAAGTGAACTGGCCCAGCTGGACTCAACCCTGCATGTGGACAGCTAGGGGAAAGGAAGGAAAACCAATCCTTTGAATCACCTTCTCATGGGCCAGCCCCCAACCAGGCCCTTCACAGCCCATATTCTCAGAATGGTGACGATGCCAGCCTTGGTGATGATCACAGGCTCTGTGCCCCACAGACCAGGTTCAAATCCCAACTGGGGGCCTGGCGCCGGGGCTCACGTCTGTAATCCCAGCACTGTGGGAGGCCAAGTTGGGCAGATCACTTTAAGTCAGGAGTTCGAGACCAGCCTGGCCAACATGGTGAAACCCCATCTCTACTAAAAATACAAAAATTAGCCAAGCGTTATGGTGGGCACCTGTAATCCCAGCTACTCGGGAGGATGAGGCAGGAGAATCACTTGAACCCAGGAGGCGGGAGGTTGCAGTGAGCCAAGATGGCACCACTGCACTCCAGCCTGGGCAACAAGAGTGAGACTCCATCTCAAAAAAAAAAAAAAACCTACTGGAGCGCTCACTGTGTGGCCCCGGGCAAGCTACCTTTATCATTTGTAAATGGGGACAAAAATGTAACTTGGTGATGATTGTGGGATGAGTGGGCTTCACCACCACACAGAAAGGACACTTGACACAGCGAGCAGGCAGAGGCAGCCAAGCCACAGGGCCCAGCCTGTCCCCGGACCAAGGACTGGGGCAGGGGGAGGTTCATTTACCCCAATGCCCAGGGAGCCACAGACATGGAGACAGCCACACAGACTCCCTCGTCCTGCCACAAGGCAGAACATGGCATGACCCAGAGAAGTCCCAAGGGCTGGGAGGCTCTGGTGGGCTTTGTGGATGTGGCATCTCAGCCAGGCTTCATAGGTCAGGAAGATTCAGGCAGGGAGAGCAACCCAGGCAGCAGGCCACACGAGCACAGGGGCACAGCTGAGGGCGGATTCAGAGCCTACCACGTGAGTTAGGGGGAATATGGCTGGAGGAAGCCCTGGAGTGGAAAGGGACTTGGCAGCTGACTCCCATGGGTGGCCCTTCCCCCACATCAGCGCCTTTGCCACTCAGAGTCCAACTCTCCAGCCCCTACCCTGGTGATGACAGACTGGCTGGCCTCCAGGTCCAATCTGCACCTTGTTAGAGACGCCCTGTTGTGGAGAGAGTGGGAAGAGCTCTTTCTCAGGCAATGGCACCGCCCCAGCCACGCGTGCTCACCCAGCCGTGGCCACTCAGTACCCCCATGCTCATTCCACCTTCCTGGCCTCCACTCCACAGGGGAGAACCCTGGGTCCAGAGAGGCCATCGGAGTTGCCAGGGATCACCTGGCTGGCCAGAGCTTTGGCTTTCGACCAAACCGCAGCGCCCTGTGCACCCAGCACTCCATCCTGAGAAAGCCTCTGTGGGCTCCTGGGGCAGCCTGAGCCCACCATCCACCCTGGCAACTCCTCGCCCAAGCACCGTCATCCTGCGTGGTCCAGCCTCTGAGACCCTCGCCACCTCTCCCCATACCCAGTCCTTGTCTCTTCCCACTAAAGATGGGCATCCCATCCACACCCCAAATCCCTCTTTCAGCTTCCCCATTCCGTTCTCCACCCACCACCCCAAATCCCCTTCTTAAGAATTTTCCTTGTCAAATATGGGAGATCCAGACCCACCCCTAGAGGCCAGAGCTCCTCCTCCCTGTCTGCTCCTCTCTTTCACTATCCCTCCCCCTCCCCCATCCCCTACTCCAGTTGGCCTCAGTTGTGAGCCAACCCCAAACCAGAGTTCCCACAGTCCTGCTCCCCTATCCTTGGAGGCTCCCATAGCCTCCAGGGCACAGCCCAAGCTCCTCTGCACTCCCAGCCCCACCCCAGGACTGCCCTTCCTGACCTCATGTCCAACCCCTCCTCAGGTGGCCAGATCTAACCCACGTGCTGCCCCTAAGCTTTCGCCCTGGAAGCTACACTTGTTAGTACATCCAGACCCCAAGCCCCAGGGCCTGCCCAGGCTCATCATTGTGGCTGAGGACAGTCACCTGCACTTGGACACATAGGTCCAGTAAGTGGTTCTTGAAGAAAGGAATCCCAATTCCCAAGCTCAAGTGGAACCTCCTCCAGGAAGGCTGCCTAGATTGCTCCCAGTGGGAACCACCATCCTCTCTTGAGTGGAGCCATCTCAGGAACCTGCGAGCATACCAAGGGTTTGCTCTTGAGCTCCTGGGCTCAGCAGTCAGGTCCCTTCAGTCTGAGACCACACCCTGCCAGTTTTGGTGCCCTGCTCTGGGCGGGGGGGGGCACTCATCTGATGATCAGCCATGGGCTGGGCTGAGCGCTGGGGTGGCCCATCCGTGCGGCCCTTCTCTGGTCATTCAGGGGCGGGTAAGGTGATGCCAGCACAGATGGCGGGCGGCTCTGGGATGAGGCAGGCAGGAAATCTGACCCTCCCAACAGGCAATCAGGGACCTGAAAGGTGGTATCTGCCTGAGCTGGGGGTGGGGACAAATGAGAATGGCGGAGGCCCAGGCTAGGGATACAAGCAAGCAGAAGGCCACCAATGTCTACGACAAAAGTGTTTAATGTTCTGTAATGTGCAGCTTCAGAGTGAAAAAGGCCCCTTCACGGGCTATACATTCTCATGACAGAGCCCTCCCCGGCCCCCCAAGAGGGAGGCAGAGGCAGGGGTTGGGCTCTGTGAGAGACAGTCCTGCGTGTGCCCACGTGAAACGGGGGTGGGGCGTGACATTTACACAGGAGAGAACCACAGATACCCATGTGAGGAGACATGAGGGGCACAGGTGACCGAGGGCCCAGGAAGCGCCCGCTGCCCCCAACCCCTCTGCTGTCCCATGCATGGCTGAATCCACGAGGAACGTGAGCTGGATGGCGGAAGTCACACGATAATGGGCTCAGGGCTCCTGGGAGCAGAACAGGCCCAGGTCCTTGGGAGACCTGGTGCCCAGGGCAGAGGGACAGACCTGAGCCTACCCGTGAGAACTTGAGTGTGCAAACCTGCGCACAGGTGTGAGAACAGACTCCAGGGCGAGTGTTTAAGAAGACAGACCCACTAGTGGGAATGTGGAGACTCCAGGGCGAGTGTTTAAGAAGACAGACCCACTAGTGGGAATGTGGAGACCCCAGGACAGGTGGAGAGGCCCAGAGCAGCAAGTACGGGGATGGGTGGGCGCTCTGGCCCGGGGCTCCCGAAGGCTGGGCAAGGCCAGAGCCAAGGGCCCTGCGACTGAGAGTCCAAGGTTCTAGGAAGGCTCAGGATGGGAGGACCCAGCTTCGCCTCAGACACCAGGGTTTCCGCTGGCTTGGAAGAAGCCGCAGGTATCAGATGAGCCTCAGGCCTCACTGCTGCCACCGGAGCCTCTGCTGCTGCCGCGCTCCACCCACACGAGGCGGGCCTGCTCCTGCAGGATGCGGCCGCGCACCACCTTGGCCAGCTCCTCTGCGTGGCCCCACTCATGGGCGGGGACCTGCACCCAGGAGCAGGGCAGCCCCCAGAGCACGTGATCTGAGCCACGGCACTGCCGAAGCAGCTCTGAGTCCCGCCAGCCCGGCCGGCCCAGCAGCCCCCTGCCGAGAGAGAGGAGTGGGCAGTGGTCAAGGTGGGGGCCCAAGACAGACAGGGAGAGTGGGACGAGGCAGGCAGGAAATCTGACCCTCCCGAGGGGCAAGTGGGGACCTGAAAGGTGGTATCTGCCTGAGCTGGGGGTGGGAACAAATGAGGAGAGTGGCCGGGGCCCAGGCCAGGGATACAAGCAAGCAGGAGGCCACCAGCCTCTACTACAGAAGTGTTTAATGGTCCATAATGCGCAGCTTCTGACTAAGGGGAAAGAGTGAAGACGGATAACCCAAGAGAGACAGATGGCAGATGGGGCAGGGGGGAGGCATCCTCCAGGAGGATGAGCTCTGGTCCGAGTGCCCTGCACGCTGCCCACTGCCCGATGAGCCACCCACCCACCCACCCACCTCACCTGACTTCCCGAACGTTCTTCTCGGTCACCTCCACGTGGATGACGATGGGGTAGATCTCATTGTGCACCAGCTCCCGCACACCCTGAGCACCCAGCTCCAGCAGGCAGTGCTTCTGCTCGGAGGATCAAGGCTACACTGTACTCCCGGCCCAGAGACATCAGCCTCCCAGGCTCTGCCCCCAGACGGGTCCCCCATCACACCCTCCCAGGTGCAAGGGACCCTAGCAGCAAAGGAGGAGCCCAAAAGGACAGACCGGGGACCTGGGCTCATGGGATGACCTGGAGAATAGACCTTCCTCTTGGGATCTAGGCCTCCCCACCTGGAGGACGGAGCAGACCCAAACCCACCCGCCACCCTACAGCTGACCGCCAGTTCCCAGATTGTGGCAAGTTCAAGGACGAGAATGTGTAGATGAGCTGGGGCAGTAGAACACCTCAAGGGGGACCCACAGGCAGTCAACTGTGCCCTCCCACCCAGGTGAGGAAACTGAGGACCACAGGAGGGAAAGAATTTGCCCAGGGTTGCCCTAGCAGTGAGCAGCAGAGCCTGGGTGGCACTGAGACGCTGGCGCTCAAGCCCAGAACAGCAGCACCCACTCCGGGGCACCCCTGTGAGCACCCCAGGCCAGCTCCCAGCACCTACCTTCCCAACAGACTCCTGGATGGCCCGGATCCTGCTGCCCAGCCCAGGGATGGCAGGCTGGGCCTTGGGGGCTCCAGGCGCTGAGGATGAGCACAGTTCCTCCCCAGAGAGGCTTTCTGCACAGGGAAAAGAGGGAGAGATTAAGAGTCCGTGGGTCTGGCTGCCCGAAATCCCCCAGCCCACCAGGGCACACGATCTCACCTGCAGGGCACACTTGGAAGTCCAGCCGGGAGCTGGGCAGGTCTAGCAGGTTTCGGATGAGCCGGGACGCCAGGCATTCAGGCAACAACACCACAGGCCGCAGGGCAGACACCAGCAGTGGCCGCACCAAACTGTAGGGTCTGAGGCTGCGCTCTGGCTCTGTGGCAGGGGAGGGGCGCAGAAGAGATAAGGGCACAGGCAGGCAGGGTAGTAACTCCTCAATACCCCAAAATCCCCACCACCCATCCCTTCCTAAGTCCTGCTCCTCCTACACACCTACACGAGTGCGTGCGTACGCACACGTGCACGCGCACACAGTAGGACGGTGGCAGTAGCTCCTGCCTGATCCTCTGCCTCATCCCTGCCCCCTACAGGTCATTCTCCACCCAGCGGCCAGGGAGGCTTTAAAAAGCAAATCCGATAATGTCAACTCCCCTGCTTTCTACAAACCAGTGACCTCCCAGATTCTCAGGAACAAAAGCCACCTCCTCTGCGTGGGTGACGCACCCTTGCCTGAGCACCTGGGGAGGCTGCTAGCCACCGACCACCACCACCACCCCCACCCCGCACTACTCAGCCCAGGTAACCCTTGCCCTCCTTCAGAGCCTAGGTCCCACCGTCCCTGGTTCCCTGGTCCCCAGACAGCAGGGCCTTGGCATGTGCTCCACGGCCTCCAGTTCTCTCCACTACACACCTCACACACTCTAATTGTGTTCACAGGTGGGATTATCTGATCCCCTACCCACCCATTAGACAGCTGAATGAGGGCAGGGAGTCACGTCCCCAATGCCTGACAGAGCTGGGACTCAATACTCACCTGCTGTACCCAACACCCTCCAAGCACACCACACACAGCCATGCCTCTGTGCCTTCTGCCTGGAACGAACTCCTCTTCATCCTTGAAAGCCCCAGCGGAAACTCCCTTTCTTCCAGGAAGTCCTCCCTAACTACCCGCTCCTCTTGCCCTAGATTTGCTGCTCCCTCAGCCCGTTCTCCCTGTCTGGCCTAAGGCCTCACCCTACTACCTCCGGGAACGGCCCCCTACCCAGGTCCTCATGGCACCTGCCACCACACGTGTGTCAGGAGCGCTGCTACACACACACTACCAGACAAAAAACAGGCCCGTGTTTGTGCAGACACACAGTCACAGCCATGTGCACCTCCGCGCAGGGTCTCCCTCAACCTTGGCAATCACCATGGCCGGGGATGGGGCTCGTCTCTCAGGCCCTCAGCATGACCCCCACTGAACCCTCACGACAGGCCCTTCTAGGCCAAAGAGGCTACCCAGACTACAGGACACCCAGCTGCACACATTCCGGGACACCAGGCGCAAGCCGGGACCCAGCTTTGCGCCCACACACTCACCTCCACAGGGCTCCAGCAGCGGCTGCTCTGGGGCGTCCCCTGCGGCCACTCCCACAGGCTTGGGCCTCACCAGCCGCAGCTGGTCCAGGGCTCTCTTCTTCAGCTGGGAGGGTGCAGGGAGAGAGGAGGAAACGGGACCCCAGGCTGAGTGGGCCCCACTGCCACCATGGTCCAGGCTTGCCAGAAGAGCCTGGGTCAGCAAAGGTGCCCTCCTCCACCAGGCCCTCTCCTGATCTCCCCTGCCCAGCACAGTCCCCCAGGCAGGGAGACTGCATCTGCTGTAACCAACACCCTCCAAGAACACCACACACAGCCATGCCTCTGTGCCTTCTGCCTGGAATGAACTCCTCTTCATCCTCAAAGGTGACCAGCCCTGAGGCCCCAGGGAAGCCAGCCCATCCGAGCCTGGTGGAGGACCCCCCAAGTTACAGATGGGGAGACTGAGGCCCAGAGATCACGAGGAACCAAATATCACATAGAAGGCCAGCTTTAGGTTCTCTGCCAGTGAGTTAGCAATGTGGCCTTGGTAGGAAAACTGATTCTACCAACAGCGGACCAGTATCAAGTGCCTGCGACAGGACGGACACTTGCTAAGCCCCTGAGGGGCACTAACTCACGGAAGCCATCTCTTGCCATGGACAGCCTGAGAGGCAGTGCAGCCCCCGCATTTTACAGATGAGGAAACAGCCCCAAGGAAGGTTCAGGAGATTGTCTAAAGTCACACAGCCGATGAGGGGCAGACCTAGGGCTCCAATGCAGGCTGCCTGGCTGGGGCCCTCGCTCTTTCTTTATCTGATGTCTCAGCCTCCCTTGCCCGTGTGCACAGCAGGACATCCAGGCGTTGGAAGAGTGGATGTGACTGCAGTTTCATCAAATGCTTACTATGTGCCAAGCTCCTCCTGAGAACTAGGCATGCTTTATCTCATTTCACCTCTAAACTACCCTGCACAGTGAGCTCTGCTGTTCTGTTTTCTGGGCACATAGTAAACAACCAATTAAATCCCCAGGGAAGGAGGGAGGGAGCATCTTCCTAGGTTGCCAGAGAACAGAGCTTGCTAGCTCCCTTTTGGACCCCACCCTTGCCCCCCCGCCCACTGCCCACCCAGCCACACTCACATTACTGCGGGGGCCTCGGTGCCGGCTGGAGGGCAGGCATTTCTCCTGAACTTCTAGGAGCTGCTGGGCTCTGTGGGAGAAAGTGGGATCATGTGTGGAGGAAGGAGAGCACCCCCATCTGGGCCTGGCTCCCAGGGGGACCCCATCCCCGGCTCCTGGCTCTGTGTCACCTCTGATAATTGGGCACAGTGCCCCGGTCCAGGTCCCGAAGAGTGAGGGGGTCAACGCGGGTGCAGAACCATTCCTGCCTCCGCTTGTACGCCGGGTCCACCAGCCGAAGAATCTCTTGGGCTTTCACACAAAGGGCATGGGGATCTGCCCTCTCGGGCAGGGTGAGGTTGGCACGGATGTAGAAGGGCTCGGCCCCTGGCCCCTTTGCCCAGGCTTCTAGGGCCTCACGGAAGGACTGGCAGGCTGGGCATGGATAGGCAGGGAGGAAGGAGGATGGTGAGGTCCAGGAGTGCCCTTGGTGGGACCACAAACATGGCCCTCTCGCGGCCTGAGCTTCCAGGACCCCACCTTCCCCTTCTTAGAATAAGAGACTTAGGTTCAGAGGGGCAGGCACTTGCCCAAGCCCAGTACCCTCTAGGAACAGCCAGGACTCAAACCTAGGTCTCTGGACTCCTAATGCAGTGATCCTTTCACTGTAAGCTGCTTACAGAGGAAGGGATAGGAGGCAGCAGCGGGGAGCCGGGAGAAGGGCAACTGCGGCAAGGCCAGGCCCTTGGTCCCCAACATGCACCACGGACTAGAGAACCCCTCTCTCAGGCTGGGCGCGGTGGCTCAAGCCTGTAATCCCAGCACTTTGGGAGGCCGAGACGGGTGGATCACGAGGTCGAGAGATGGAGACCATCCTGGTCAACCTGGTGAAACCCCGTCTCTACTAAAAATACAAAAAATTAGCTGGGCACGGTGGTGCGTGCCTGGAATCCCAGCTACTCGGGAGGCTGAGGCAGGAGAATTGCCTGAACCCAGGAGGCGGAGGTTGCAGTGAGCCGAGATCGCGCCATTGCACTCCAGCCTGGGTAACAAGAGCGAAACTCCGTCTCAAAAAAAAAAAAAAAAAAAAGGAAAGAAAGAAACCCTCTCTCAGGACATCAGCTCTAACTCCCAAGGCAGACTTACCTTTCGAGTCCATCAGGGAGGGGAATGTGGACCTCTGGTTCCAGAGCAAGGTTTTCTGCTGGGCCTCGGCTTCCAGACACGCCCCCTCCAGACCAGCAGCTTCCACTCTTTGCTGGGAGAAAACCCAGGCAGGCAGGGAAAGAAGTGAGCCTCTGAGTAGAGCAGCCCAGGGGCTGGAGGAACACTGGATGTAGGGGTGATCATGCCTCACAGTTCAGATAGTGCCCCCTCGGGAACTGCCATGCCCAGCCCAGTCAGACCCACTCCCATCCACAGGACCCCCCACCAACCCACCCAGCTTATCCAGGTCTTTCCCCAGTTGAAGCACAGGGATGTAACGTGCTGTCAACTGGCCCCACCGCCCAGCCCACATCCAATCAGACTTCGATTAACCCTGGCTGAACAGGGCAACTGCAGCTAATCAGTGAGCCCACTTCTGCTCTGGCCAATCCCCAGTGATCTTGATCCACCAACCAGGGAGTGTCCAGCTGGGGCCAAAGTAGTGACTCCACCTCCCAGCTCAGGAGGCAGGATCTCACCTCTCTTGGTTCCATCCTGGCTGACCCAGGCCCAGAGATCACCCTCCGCACCACAGCCCCAGACCATCTGTCCCCACAAAATGACAGTCCATCTGGGCCCTTGTCCTGTGGCTCTGGGCCCCCCGGGGGGCTCCGGCCAGACACTCGGATGGCCAGAGACCTGAGAAGGGAGAAAGGAGATGGGAATTAGAGTCCAGTCAGTACTTGGATTCAGTTCAGCCTTCTTGGAAAACCACAATGATTCCATTCCCCAAGTATGCCATGACTCGAATCCCCAGGCCTCTTTGCATCTTCTGTGCCCTCTGCCTGGAATGCCCTTCCTCACCTTCTCCACCTGGGAAATGCTGCTCATCCTTCAAACTCAAGTCACAAGCAGCCTCTCCCCTGGACCCCTGGGCACACGGTGCGGTGGAGTCTGCCACAGCGGCACTCCAACTTTGCCTTGCCACAGCCCTTTCATCTCCTCCATCAGAACAAACACCTTCGGGACCAAACCTGTATACTGTTCAGCTCTGAATCCCTGGCACCAAACCCAGTCTCTGGTCCATAGCAGATGATTAATAAAAGCTTGTTATGCAGCCAGGCGCGGTGGCTCATGCCTGTAATCCCAGGTAATGCCAGCACTTTGGGAGGCCAAAATGGGCAGATAACGAGGTCAGGAGTTCAAGACCAACCTGGTCAACATAATGAAACCCTGTCTCTACTAAAAATACAAAAAAATTAGCCAGGCGTGGTGGCGGGCACCTGTAATCCCAGCTACTCGGGACGCTGAGGCAGGATAATTGCTTAAACCCGGGAGGCGGGGGTTGCAGGGAGCCAAGATTGCACCATTGCACTAGAGCCTGAGTGATGGAGTGAAACTCCATCTCAAAAAAAAAAAAAAAAAACGGGTTATGCTCACAGTCTGGGGTGGGAGGTCGCCATTAGCATGTGGCACAGATCTGAAGGTGGTTACAGCCAGCAGTGGAAGCAGAGAGGAGAGCCTCCCCACGGAAGAAGTGCCTGGGCTCTACCCTGGTGAAGAACAGAAGCACTCTGGTGACAGACGGAGGGAAGAGAGGTCCGGGCTGAAGGAATAAAGTAGAGCAAAGGTATGGAGGACGGGACACCGGATGTGTGGGAGAACTGAATAACAGCAGCAGCAGCGAGCACTTCCTGGGTGCTTCCCATGCGCCAGACGCCATGCTCAGCTGCTTGCACTGATTCTCGTTTCACATCCGGGGAAGGAGCTGCGAGGAAAGGCAAACTGGAGCCAGCCTTTCAAGGCCACAGAACAGAGGCGTCTGGTTTTCCTCCCATGGGCAGCGGGACCACTGACAGTTAAGACGTCACCAAAATCCCCATCATGGCAGGGTTGTGTCTGTCCCTGGATGAGAAAAGGTGAGGCCTTGGGGCCAGGCTCAGAGAGAAGTGAACCCCAAGTCCCCTGCCAGACCCCTGGCCTGGAGGAAGTGGGGAGACCAAGGTTGGCAGGTGTGCCGGCTGGAGAGGCAGCAGGGCAAAGCATCTCCTCCTATCCCAGCAGCTGCAGCCCAGACACAGCTGCACTGCCCCCTGCTGCCAGCCTGGGGAGGGTGAGGCTGCAGGGGGCAGCCCCGACCCCTCAGGTAAGACAGAGCCAGGCGTGGGAAGCAACGTTCAGCACACCTTGTCCTGGCTGCATGGAGGTGACATGGAAAGGGGGCGGGCCTGAGACCCAGCCTGGCTATGCTGGCCATGGCTGTGTGGCTGGAGCATACAGTCCACACCAAACCCCAGCACAGACTGCACCCTAACCTGGGCAAATGAGCCAGCTGTTGAGCGTCAGTTACCACGTGCATAACACAAGGCTGACAATGGTAGCCCGGACCTCTGTGGGCTTCGGGGGGCACATGGCACAAATAAAAGATGATGCAGGGAGAGGTGGAAACCAGAGGGCTCCAGGGCCTCCAAACTGCAGGCCTGGCCCTTAGTGGGTGCTGATATTTACTGGGTTGTGGCCAGTGCAGCTGGATAAGGTGATGGAAAGTAGAAGGCTACCCTACCCCACCGCTGCCGCCGTACATCCAATTGTTATCTCATGACCCTTTTGTTCCAGGCGTGTGCACCGGGTTTCCCTCACTGTGGGTTGTGGTCAGATGGTCTGAGAAGAGCAGCACGCAGTGCGCCAGCAGGAACGCTGGGGTCAGACGGCCGGGCTGCTCAGCTGCTGAGCCTCAGCTCCACCTACTTCCCCTGCTACTCGCTGAGTTCAGACATGGGCAGCTCTCAGAACAGGGCCCAGTAGACACTAAGTGCTCGGTCAAAATTAGACATTTACTGGCATCAGGTGTGATTCATAACAAATCACCTCTCGCCTCAGTTTCCCCACGTGTTTTAAACCCACAGACAACTGACCATCATGGCCTCCCTGGACCAGAGCCCAGTGAGCAAAGGCACCCAGGCTCTGCTGCCAACCCCACCCATCCCCTACTTGCTCCCTCTTTCACCCACCTCTCCTCTGCAATGGAAGCATCAAGGCTGACCTCAGCCTTGACCTCAGGCCTTCAGGCTCTTCTTGACAACTCCTGCAGCTCCATGAAGACCCAGCTCAGGCGTCCCCTCCTCCAGGATGCCCCTACCAACCTCCCCAAAGGACCAGTGACTTCTCTGAGCCTCCACAGCCAGGGATACCCGCTCCCAGCACTTCTCAGAGTCTGCAGAGCCCATCTGGGGTTTGCCAGGAGCAGGGTCCAGAGAGGGTCCCTCCCACCCCGGCCTCAGCAGACAAGCAGGAGGGGTAGAGAAAGGACACGGCAGGGAGAGGGGCTGCCTGCTCCTCACTCCCAGGACTGCCTGACCAGCTGGCTGCCTCCACGCCTGCCTGTGGGTGCTGAGAAGCACGGCGTCCCTAGCCAGCAGGTGATGGTTCCCAGCCCCTCCCCAGTCAGGTCATGTCACAGGCACCAGGAACAGGCAAGTCTGCCAGCTCGGCCAGCTCTGAGCAGTGATGGGCCACATTGCCTCGGTGAGTGTCGCCCAGGGCCCTGTGGGAAGATCTCTGCATAGTCTGCATGCCTGCTTGGTACCAGGTGAGGGACCAAGCTGAGACTGATGCAAGCCACACGGATCACCTCGGTCAATCCTCCTGACAACCCGAGGGCTGAGGTAAGGGAAACTGAAACACAGGAAAGTTAACTTGCCAAGGATGGCACAGCTGGTGGGCCGTGGAGCCAGGCAATGACTTATAGTAACCCTCTCTTTGCAAGGAAGATGCCAGAGATCCCCTGGGACCACGTGAGCGAGCAGGGGCAGTGGCAGGGCTATGCTGGGGAGATGGCACCCCGAAACCCCCCAATGCTCTCCATGCCCTGCCCCTCTCACCCAGCACCTCACTTGGCTCATATGCCCTCCCTTGCTGTCCCTCACCCGGCTATCTGTCAGCCTGACCCCGGCCTGCCCCAGTCCCTGACTATCCACCATCCCCTCCCAGGCTCCAAGAGCTGGAAAGGGCAGGGCAGAGAGGCTGAGGGCAAGAGATGGGCAGAAAATGGGAAAGAGGAGAGAAAATCCCCAGCGTGGTGCCCAGCACACAGTGGGCACACAACACAGGCATGAGAGCTCCAGCAGCCCGGCGCACAGTGGGCGCACGACACAGGCGCGAGAGCTCCAGCAGCTAAGACAGGGGAAGGCACATCGGAATCCCCAATCAGCTCCGAGGGGCCTGTGACTTGGGAGCAATGTCTAACTGTTGGAACTTCAGTGTCCTGGTCTGTGTAACCAGGTTAAAATTCCAGCCTTGCAAAGTTGCTCTGGGGGCTAAACCGCAACGGCAGCAGTCATCATGGCAAAGAGCCAGCGTGTGCTGACATCCACTGTGCGTGTTCTGAGCGTTCTAGAAGGGATACTGGGACCCCCACAGTGACCGAGGGGACAGGTACTACTGGAGCCCATTTTATAGAGCAGGAAACTGAGGCACTGGGAAATTCAGACACTTGCCCATGGTCCCACAGTAGCAAGTGCTGGCACCAAAGCCTGCTCTTCCCACCTCACCGTAAGACACCCCCAAGAGACACACAAGCTGCCCCAACCAGGGCCCTGTCCACGCCCTCATCTCCCCTCTGCCTGTCCGCCTCCCTCCCTCTCTCTCCCATTCTGTCCACCACCTCCACGCCCTACCCAGCCTGTGTTCTTCCCCAGGAACCCCTCTCCTCCCCAGGAACAGCACAGGCAGCAGAAGTGGCCCCATGTGATCGTGGGGCCTGGGCGGGGCAGGGACAGAGGCTCCTGCTCCCTGGCTGCATCCTGGTGCCCCCGGGACAGCAGCCAGGACCCCTGCTGCAGCCCAAACTGGAGGAAGGGAGGAAGGGCTGAGGCGGGCAGGAAGGGAGACGCCTCCACCCCTTTCCCGAGAAGCACGTCCTGCTCAGCCAGAAACAATGTCTCGCTAGGCCCACTGCCGGGGGTCAGGTGGGGGCAGGGCCTGGGTGGACACTGAGCTGACCAAGCTGCTTCGGAGGTCCTGGTCCTACACTGTACTGATCTGCTGTGTGACCTGTCCCTCTGCACCCAACACCGCCATACTCCAGCACTGACGGTCTCTGCTTCTGACAACGTTTGCAAAACCCAAGTCCCATCAGGTCACTGTGAACCCAGACCTGGTGCTTCCCAACTGTGTGACCCTGGGTAAGTTGCTTAACCTCTCTGAGCCTCTATAAAGCAGAGATCATCATAATTATGCCTCCTCCCAGGACAAAGGGCATGCTGTGAAAGAGCCAGCAGCTGGCCTTACAGTTAATAACCCCTCCCAGGGTTCCCAGAGTCTACAAGCCAAAGTCCGCACTCTCCCAGCTTGACTCAGGACGCCCTAACTTCCGCCCTCCCCCTCACTCCCCCTCCAGTCACCGGATGCTCTCCCTACCTGCCCTCTCCTCCCAGCTGAGTCCCAAGACCACAGTGGCAGTGCGGCCCCTGCTGTGCCCCAGCCCTCCTGAGACCCACTGGCAAGTCTGAACAGTGGCCACACACTGTGGCCACTAACAGCACGTGGCCTGCAGTTGCAGTGCACACTCTGCACTAACAGGCTTTGTGACTCCTGCTACCGGCCTGTGGCTGGCCCAGTCACAGGGAGTCCCAGCCCACCCACAGCATGAAGCTTTGCTGGGTGGCTCAGTCCTAGGGACTCAGGATAGGCAGGATATTGGGACAAGGACAGCTTGTAACAACTTTTACTGAGTACCTGCTGCAGGTCTGGCAGAGCTGGGGGCTTTGCTTATGTGAGCAGAGCCCTCAAAAGACCCACATGCAAAAAGGGTCATCTCCTTTTAGCTACTGAGGAAACAGAGGCCCAGAGAGGTGAAGGGACCAGCCCAGGTCACAGGGACAATCAACAGTGTCGGCAGGATTTGAATCCAAGGGCTGCCCTTGTCTACGCACCTTCATCTTCCAGCAGTTGCATAAAACAGGGGTGAGGCAGCTTCTCCTTCCTCCTCGCCCCTGTTCCCTCTCAGTCTCCCTGGCTCCACCCACCGCAGGCAGCCACAGTACCTGTTAAGGAAGTCCAGGCCACAGCCCCGCGCCAGGAGGCCTTCCGGCTTTCCCAAAGGCCACACGCTGTCGGAGGAAGATGACGAAGAGAGGCCAGGGGACCAGGGCTTAAGTGTCACACTCCCTGGGAAAGAAGTATGAGGTTCAGGGGCCTAGGACCGGGAAACGGGCAGCCAGGGTCCATGACTGGGACAGACACCCCTCCAGCCCAGGACCCAAGGGCCTTGGCAGGCTGACCCAGGAGCACATCAGACCCACATGGGCTCAGAGATAGGTCAGGGCCCATGAGGCTGACCCTGCAGTTTCCCGGAAGAGGGTGAAAGGTGGTCCAGAACTGAAGAGCCTCATACATCACAGCCAGGAAGAAGAGTGAGGGCCAGGACTTGGCTCAGGGTAAGAGGCCGGAACCAAAGGCCCCAAGGGCCTCCCAGGCACAGCCTTCCTGCCTGGCAGGGGCCATAGTGGGGCTTCAGGGAAGGGGATGCAGGCAAGGGTAGGTGGCACAGACTCCAGGTGGGCTGCAAAGCCATTCCCCCGCCCCCAGATGAGCCCTCCCCACGGAGCTCAAGGGCTGTTACCTGTGATGTCTGACATGCTGCTGAAGGACCTGGGCAGGGAGAGGGCAGGGAGGGGGCAGGAGGTGAGGCACGGTGGGCACTCTGCCTTGCTCGCTCATCCTGCCCCCACGCCAGAAAAAGGTCTCACAGCCACCAAGCAAATGCAGGCTAGACTCAAGGTGGGGTCCCAGGCACAGGGCACCCATGCCACCTGGCTCTCCTAAACTCACAGGGTAAGAAGTTAATGTTCTGGTTTGTCCATTGTTTTTCACCCCAGAATGCCCTGGCATGTCCTTCAAAGCCAGCTCTTTCAATGCCACCTCCTCCTAGAATCCTCCCCTGATCTCTCACCCCCTCATCTCACCCTCCTTTGCCGCCTTTGTGGTTTGTGGCTCCCAGGTACGCCTCCTAAATTGAACTATGACCTCCTCATCAGACACCCCCTTGGGACAGACCCACGCTGACCAAGACCACGCTGATCACAGCCTCCCAGCGCCCCTCACCGGTAAAGGAATCAATCAAGGGCTACTTACAAGGGGGAGACAGTGACAGGGAACGTGCCCAGGAGGCGGGTATCTCCCACCCTTGGTCTTGCCATCAGAGGCTGTTTCTTGGGTTTTCTGGTCCCTATTTCCTACTGATGCCCAAACCTGGGGCCTGGCTCTCTTGCCCAAGGTCCCTGACACCTTGAACCATTCTCCATGTCCCCTAGTCCTAAAGCATCAAGCTTCTCCTTGGGTACAGGATCTTCAAGGCTTGATCTCCAGTGACTCTCCTGCCAGGCTAGGACTGAGTTCACTCATTGGCCTTATCTTAACCCTGACCTCAGGCACCCCATGACTCACAGGGCCTGGGTTTCCAGAGCTCCAGCCACCTGAGGGCTATAAAGGGAGGTGACTGCCTGGACCTGACTCTGGCATTGTAGATTCTGAGGTGGCTGTTCGGGAAACAGCAGCCCCACCCCCCCGGGCGTCTGCTGCTATCTCCAGCCATCTCACCTCTTAGGGGGTTCGGGGTCCTCCTCACGCTGCCGGCGGAGGATGGAGCCGGCACTGGGCGGGAAGGGCAGGATGGAGAGTCGGTTGATCTCCTTCTCACTGTCTGTGGCCTCCTCCTGCAATGCCATGACAGGGCCTGGGTCACCCCTGCTGCCCGGCACCCTCCCAGTCCTCAGCACACCTGGTTTGTGCCCATTCCACAGATGAGGAGTGGGGCCCAGGGCAAAGCTGTGGGCTCTGCAAGGTTACAGTGTACAGTGGCTCCTCAGTTCTCCCGGCACCCAGCCGGGAACTGCTTCTGGGTGAGCTTCAACAAAGTACTTGGCCTCCCTGCGCCTCGGTGTCCTCACCTGTCAAATGGATCCTTCAGAAAGCACTCTCTGCCTTAGTAATAATGCCATAGCAGCGTACCCCTTTATTTGGGATGGGGCAGGTGTCTTACCGAGGGGTGAGGCTCAGATCCCCCCGTGACAGCGGCCTCCCCGGTTGCCTCTGGGCCTCCCAGAGGGGAGGGGAACTCGCTCAGGCTCCAAGTGCTGCTGAGGTTGGAGCACAGGGAATGGGAGGACGCACAGGCCTAGGAGAGGGAGAGAAGAAGGTGAGCAGTGCCAGGCCCAAGCCAGCCACAGGCCTTTCCTGACCGCCTGCCATGTGCCAGCACGGGACAGATCCCTGTCCTCAGGGAGCTCACAGCCTAGAAGAGACAAACTGTCAATCCGCAGACACGGGAACAACATAACGCCAAGCTGAGACGACAGCAGGAGGAAGCTGCCGCCGGGAACACACGCAAAGACCCCACCCAGCCTGCGGCCCAAGTACCTTCCAAAGAAAGTATGCTTTGAACTGAGAGCCCGAGGGTAGGCAGGTGCTAAGCAGGTCCAGCTGGGATGGGCCAGGCAGAGGAACAGCATGTGCAAAAGCCCTGAGGCTTTTAACTGTGATGCATTCCAGTTAAAAGGCTAAAACCCATAGAACCCAGCTAGAGGACAGGAGGAGCCTCATCTGCAGGGCCTCCTGGGCATGAAAAGGGACTCTGTCTCTACCTAACCGCAAAAAAGCCAACTGGAGGTTTAACAAAAGTCATCAGGCCGGGCGCAGTGGCTCACGCCTGTAATCCCAGCACTTTGGGAGGCTGAGGTGGGTGGATCACCTGAGGTCAGGAGTTCGAGGCCAGCCTGACAACATGGAGAAACCCTGTCTCTACTAAAAATACAAAATTAGCTGGGTGTGGTGGCACAGGCCTGTAATCCCAGCAACTCGGGAGCCAGGAGAATCTCTTGAAACCTCGAGAGGGAGGATGCAGTGAGCCAAGATCGTGGCATTGCACGCCAGCCTGGGCAACGAGAGTGAAATTCTGTCTCCAAAAAAAAAAAAAAACGTCAGGGATTCATGCTTACTTCCATTCCTCCAAACCCCAATGCCTCAAAACCAGGCCTTCGGAGTTCATTGTCAGGCGACTCGAAATAAGAAAAAGCGGCCTAGGTGCTCACGCCTCTAATCCCAGCACTTTCGGAGGCTGAAGCGGAAGAATCACTTGAAGTCAGGAGTGCGAAACCAGCTGAAACCCCATCTCTACTAAAAATACAAAAACCTTAACTGGGCCTGGTCAGGTGCCTGTAATCCCAGCTACTAAACTAGGGAGGCTGAGAATAGCCTGAACCTGGGATCCAGCCTGGGCGACACACTGAGACTCTAACTCAAAAAAAGGAAAAATCAGAGCTCCCGGCAGCAGCCTGAGGACCATGGTCCAATGTACAAAGGGTCTGGGACTCCAGCTCCAGTGCCAGCTGGCTGTGTGGCCTTGGGCAAGCCCCCGACCCTCTCTGGGCCGTGTCCGATGAGAGGATTAGACCAGCTGGTCTCTGAGGGATGCTTATGCCCATGTTGGTCCTAACTAGCTGGTCGGCCCAGGTTTGGCATTCTAACATGCACACAGGACCCCAGGCAGTCAGGCTTCTCCTTCGTGTCCCAGTAGCAACTCCAGAAACTAAGAGACCAACATGCACCTCTCCCCCCAGGTCCCCCAGCTCACCAGCCCAAACCCAGCCCACCCTGGATCCCAGTTCCCACCCCAAACTGAGGGCTCTTCCCACTTCCCCCAAGCTTCCTCCCCTGGCTGAGGTCTCCCACCAGGGCTGGCACGTTCCCAGCCCTGGCCAAGAGCTCCTGCCAGGACCCCCACAATCCTGACCCACTCACCTTGAGGCAGGTGCCACCCTGGGCCCGCTGCAGCTGCACCTCCAGCAGAGCCTTGGTGCCCTCCAGGCTGGTGAGCGCCGTGAGCAGCTCGTCCCGCTCTGCCTCCAGGCCCCGCACCTGCTTTCGGTACTGGTCCTTCTCAATGAGACTCTGTGAGTACTGCAACTGGATCCGGTCACGGCTCTGGATGGCCTAGGGTGGGGGGAAGGGAGGCAGCAGCTGAAGGGGCCACCCTGGCCCAGCTTCTGGGCCTGTGACTTGGAGAATGGGGACAGTAACGAGAACAGCAGCTCTCACTTACAGAGCACTGTGTGCCAGGCCCTGAGCTCAGTATCAGCTTATTTAAATATCTTCACACTAAGTGGCTACATTAGATACTATTAATAGCATTATTTTCATTCTGCAGATTGGGGAAACTGAGCCTGGAGGGACAGAGCTGGGATTCAGATCAGGAAGTCCATTTGCACAATCCAACTGAAGACCTTTCCATGAGACCTGCTATGTGCCAGGGGCTTTACTCACGGCATCCCAGTCAGTGGAGAAGCCGAGTCAAACCCAGCCTATTGCATCCACAGTGAAGACTCTGGAGCTGGGCCTGTGGCCCAGACCTGGCACCACAGCCTTAGAGCTGGGGGGAGCCCCATAAAATGCAGATTCCTGAGGCCCACCCTGGACACCTGAATCAGAATGTCCAGAGAATGAAGCCCCAGATTTGCATTTTTAAGCCTGCCAGGGGATCCTGAGGCCATTTCTCATATATAGACTTCGGCTGGGCAAGGCGGTTCACACCTGTAATCCTGGCACTTTGGGAGGCTGAGGCGGATGGATCAGTTGAGCCCAGCCTGGACTTTATGATGAAACCCTCCCTCTACTAAAGATACAAAAATTAGCCAGGCATGGTGGCGCATTCCTGTAATGCCAGCTTCTTGGGAGGCTGAGGCAGGAGAGTCATTTGAACCCGGGAGGCAGAGACCACAGTGAGCTGAGGTCACACCACTGCACTCCAGCCTGGGTGACAAAGCTAGACCCAGTCTCACAAGTAATCCTAATAGTAATATGTAGACTTCAACTCTTCCAGTGGAATTCACACTTGGTCAAGGACAAAAACCTCCTGCCCGCCCCTGCTGCACATGGAGCCTCACACCAGGAGGCTTGGGGGCCTGGTGGCACTGGCTGGAGGTCCTCAGCCCACCCACAACCTTGGCAGGAGACAAGGGTCATAGTGCGCAGGGACTGAGAGCCAAAATTTTGGGGAATTCCTTCAGCAGCAGCCACTTCTAAGCACCTCCTCTGTGCTGAGCTTGTCTTTGAGATGGAGAGAACAAGGGATTCAGAAATGAAGACACCAGGGTCAACTTCTGTAACTGTCATGGAAGCTGAGGTGAGGCCGGTGGCTCCAGGGTGTCAGGTTGGTATCTCAAGGGCTCCAGGTCCCCGTCTGTCTCCCCCGACCACATGCCCCATCCTAACCCACCAGGGAGCTGCTCACATCTCTTTCTACCATTCTAGTCCCCTCCATTCCTCCTCGTCTCCCCCACAAGAACTAGCAACTGGCTGAGGGCCTGGCACACACCAGGCCGGGCTCACCTGGTCCCGCTCCTTCTCAATCTCCTCCAGCTGAGCCAGGACAGTGGCCATGCGGTGCTTGTACAGGTCACAGTCCTTCTGCAGTGTGCGGTGCTTCAGCTGCAGGTCTTCCATCCCCTGCAGGTACTGAGGGCGGCACGGGCGGGGTCAGACCACAGGGCTGGGGACCATGAGAAATCTCACCAGCAGGTGCCCAGGAGGGCCAGTGAGAGACGCTCTCCCAGAGCCTGAGACCCAAAACAAGTTCCCTCCTGCCCGTGGAGTGGTCTGAGCCACTGACTTTACCTCCCAGGCCCTCAACTGCCTAATCTGTAAAATGAGGAGAATGATCATCATGTCACCCAGCCAGCCACCCTTGGCCTCCCCACTGAAGCCGAAACCGGCTTCTTCCCCAGCTCTGCGTCTCCCACAGTGCTCATCGCCTCCAGCTACAGGAAATAGCTGACGTGGGACTGTGTGTCTCCCGTACTGCCAGCCTGCCCTGCCGGAGTTCCCCCTAAGGGAGCAGGCACCTTTGTTTTGCTCACTGCGGGTGTCTCAAGCACCTAGAAGGGTGCCTCCATCGATATCCGAGAATGAATGAACACAGTTCTCAGCACCCTGGATGCTCAGGGAAGGCGTGAGCACGCCAACCCTGCCTGACACCTTCCCCGACCAGGGGCAGAGCACGGGCAGGGCCCCACCTGGTCTCGCAGCTCCTCGGCCCACTGCAGCTCCCCCTGCACAGCGTGCAGCTTCTGGCACAGCTCCTGCCTGCTGTCCTGTGCCTCCCTCCAGTCATGCTCTAGGATGTCCAGCAGGATTCGTTCAGAGCCTGGGGCCCCCGGCCGGCTCGCCTCCTGGGGATCGCAGGGCAGGGCCACCTCAGGGTCTGGCTCAGGGCCCACCCTAGGCATGGGGAGGAAGGGGACATGCAGCTCTCCAAACCCACCTGACCAGCTCTGCCATGCTGGCCTGAGGCCTTGACCTCTCTGGATCTCTGTCTCCCGCTCTGCAGAGTGGGCATGGCTCTGCCAGCCCTACCCACCCTCCAGAGAGCATCTGGGGTGCAAATAAGCTAAGTGAATGAGGGTGTGGCTGGGCAGGTTCAGCCAGGATCTGATTCCTAAGCAAGCAGCAGGCGCACACTCATGCTCTGGCCCTCACCCAGCATCCAGGCCAGCAGACAACGGCCACTTCCAAGGCCTACCCGCCCCTGATGACTGGGGGTCTTCAAGGGGCTGAGCCTGGCCCAAACAGGTAGACCCTGGGCCTAAGATCCAGCCCCCAGAACCATACCCAGCCAAGTGCCCCAACCTCAGGAAAGGCACTAGCTTCCATCCCCCACTTCCTGCGTGGAACAATGGCCAGGAGCAAGCCCATGCAGCCGCTGACCTGCCGCTGACCTGCCACAGGACACTAAGCAAGTCTTGACCACCAGACCACACCCTCTACAAATCAGATCAAAGCTGGGACCCTTTCCCCAGAAAAATGCTCACACTCAAAATCAAGTGGACAGTTTTAGGGAGTTCGGGGGCCTTCTGGAGGCTGCTCACACACCCCAGACCAGGCATCCAAAGATAGCCACGTGCTAAGGGCCCTCAGCTCAGAGCTCCAGGCAAGAGGCTGCTAGGACTCCATCTGGATCTCAGATTCCTCATTCTGAAATCCTCAGCTTCCCAGGCCTTGGGAGGATGAGTAAACAGCAAGAGGGCCTGTTTTCCGGATCTGACCCCACCCCACCTCTGTGCCCACAAGCCCCAGCCCTGGTACCAGCTGCAGGCCCTCCTAACCCCCACAACCCCTGTGCCCATGAGCCCCGGCTCTGGTACCCGGTGCAGGCCCTCCTGCAGCTCCTGCAGTGACGCCGTCAGCCGCTGGTTCTCAGCACGCAGCTCATAGACAAGGTCTACGTTGTCCGGCTCCTTCTCCTTCTCCTTCTCCTTCTCCTTCTCCTTCTCCTTCTCCTTCTCCTTCTCCTTGTCCTTGTCCTCCGCCCCAGGAGGCGGCGCCCTGGCCCTTCGCAGCAGTGCACACTCTTCCTCCAGCCGACTCACCTTGAGCTTGAGCTGGTCCACCTGGAGCCCAAGACATGGGTCAGCCCAAAGGGGAACACACTGGGAGCCACCGGTCACAGGGGCAGGAAGACCTGCTCCCTCACTGGGTGCCTCCCAGATTCCCAGAGAGGCCTGAGCAGAAGCCCTCCCCAGGCTTGTCTGTGAAGACGGGACAGGCCACGCAGATGTAAAACAAACGCTGAGGAAGGCACATGGGGCAGCCAGGTCAAGGACACCTCCCGGGGGAATCCACTCTAAGAACTTGTAACCGGATGGGCCGCATCACCACTGCTGTCTGACCTGCATTCCGACACTGAGTGCCATCAATTCAGCCCAGTATTCTCATGGCAGAAGAGGAGGAGGGGCCACATCAAGAATGAGAATAGCCGGGCGCGGTGGCTCACGCCTGTAATCCCAAGTCTTCGGGAGGCTGAGGCAGGCAGATCATCTGAGGTCAGGAGTTTAAGACCAGCCTGACCAACATGGTGAAACCCCGCCTCTACTAAAAATACAAAAATTAGCCAGATATGGTGGCACATGCCTGTAGTCCCAGCTACTTGGGAGGCTGAGGCAGGAGAATGGTTTGAACCCAGGAGGCGGAGGTTGCAGTGAGCTGGGATTCCACCACTATATTCCAGCCTGGGTGACAGAGCGAGACAATGTCTCAAAAAAGAAAAAAAAAAAAACGGGGGGAACCAGGCTAGGTGTGGTGCTCACACCTGTAATCCTTACACTTTAGGAGGCCGAGGCGGGCAGATTGAGAATAGCCTCAGTAACATAGTGAGACCTCATCTCGACAAAAAAATTCAAAGCATTAGTTGGGTGTGGTGGTGAGCACCTATTATCCCAGCTATTCAGGAGGCTGAAGTGGGAGAATCACTTGAACTTTGGGAGGTTGAGGCTACAGAGAAGCATGTTCACATCACTGCACTCCAGCCTGGGAACAGAGCAAAACCCAGTCTCAAAAGAAAAAAATATATATATGGGAAACAGGGTCAGACCCCAGCTCTGTTTTTAGCTCTGTGTGACCCTGGGCAAGTCATGGCCCCTCTCTGTGCCTCAGTCTCCTCATCTGTACCTGGGGTACAGCAGAGGAGAGGGTGATGGTTTGAAAGTTGAGGGTCTCATCTGGCACAGGAACTAGAGGCTCCCCGACAAGCCAACATCTCACCTCAACACACACTCAGGAAACAGACTTGCCCACCCTGAAAGGCACTCCTAACAGAGCCTCTCCTCTCTAAGATCCAGCTATTGGTTCATCTCCCTCAAAAGCTCCACATCCAGGGTTCAGGTTTCAACTTTGCTACTTCTAGGCTCTGTCATCCTCGGCAAGTCTCTTACCTCCTCTGGGCCTCAGTTTCTTAATCAGTAAAATGGGCCCAGTCAATCTTCTGGCCTCATCATTTACCTCCCAAAAGTGTTGCAAGAATCAAACAAGACAGCAAGTGGGCAGAGACCTCTAAATGGTGAAGGCTACAGAGCTGCCACAGTGTGACCAGAGCTTTAAATAAAATCCCAGGCCCCTAACTGCTCACCAGCCTGGAGTGTGCAGCCAGAATCTGGCCCAGTGCGATGGGTGGGCAGCTGTGGGGTGACCGCCTGGCTGGGGGAGCAGACGTGCATGGCCAGTTTGCTGGACTATGAGTGCACTCGGCCAGGGGTGACGCACGTGGGGTCTGGGGTCGCCAGACAGTGACAAGACAGCAGCAGGTGGCAGGCCATAAAATGAAGCCATTGTTGGGAAAAGGTCACAATGACTTCTGGTGCTATAGTCAGGCACGCACCATCTGGTGCCCTAGGACTGCCCTGGCCTCTCGTGGAAAATGACTTGCTAGTCCCACAGCCTTCAGGGGCTAGAATGGCACACCACACACACATACACACATACACACATGCACACATATACACACACACGCAAACACACATACATACACATATACACATGCACACATATACACACACACGCACACACACATACACATATACACACGCACACATACACATACACGCAAACACACACGTACACAAACACACACGCAAACATACACACACGCACACATATACACATGCACACATACACACATACACATATACACATGCACACATGTACACACATATACATATAAATACACGTACACATACCTGTATACACATGCACCCGCAAACACACACACACACATACACATAAACACACACGTACACACACACAGGCACACACACACACAGGCGCACACACACACACAGGCACACACACAGGCACACACACACACAGGCACACACACACATAGGCACACACACACACAGGCACACACACACAGGCACACACACACAGGCACACACACACACACAGGCACACACACACAGGCACACACACAGGCACACACACACAGGCACACACACACACAGGCACACACACACACAGGCACACATACACACACACGTACACACACACACAGGCACACAGGCACACACACACAGGCACACACACAGGCACACACACACACAGGCACACACACACAGGCACACACACACACAGGCACACATACACACACACGTACACACACACACAGGCACACACACACAGGCACACACACACAGGCACACACACACAGGCACACATACACACACACGTACACACACACACAGGCACACACACACACAGGCACACACACACACAGGCACACACACACAGGCACACATACACACACACGTACACACACACAGGCACACACACAGGCACACACACAGGCACACACACATGGCACACACACACACAGGCCACACACTACACACGTACACCACACCACAACACACACAGGCACACACACACAGGCACACACACAGGCACACACACACAGGCACACACACCCACACACACACACACACACACACACGTCACACACACACACAGGCACACATACACACACACGTACACACACACAGGCACACACACACAGGCACACACACACGTCACACACACACACAGGCACACACACACAGGCACACATACACACACACGTACACACACACACAGGCACACACACACAGGCACACACACACAGGCACACATACACACACAGGCACACACACACAGGCACACACACACAGGCACACACACACAGGCACACACACACACAGGCACACACATACACACACACGTACACACACACACAGGCACACACACACAGGCACACACACAGGCACACACACACACACACATACACACACACGTACACACACACACAGTCACACACACACAGTACACACACACACAGGCACACACACACAGGCACACACACAGGCACACACACACAGGCACACACACACAGGCACACATACACACACACGGGGCTGGAGGCTGGGTTGGGCAGTTCTACAAATGAACAGTCCACTCCTCCTCCTCCGCAAAAGACTCAGAAAGAAATTCATGACTCCTGCATTCCTTTCCACTCACAAAACATGCTTTGTGAGCAGCCAGAGAAAGACAGCTCGTCACAAGGACAACTGGGGTCATGCCCGCTCAGCAAACCGCAGCCACACACCAGGGCCTCCTCCCTAACCCCGGGCCAGCCAGCTTCCCTGATTGAGCTCAGAGGACAGGACACCTGGGTGTCTCCGGCGGGCACCAGGAAATATGGAAGCATTTAATCCCGGTGTACAAACCCACTGGGCACAAAATTATAGTGTTCGTGCCTTCAGTTTATGTTGCTTAGAAATAACAGCTCATTAAATTTGCACCTTATAAAACACAGTATTAAATCTCAGCCACCACACACCTGTCCATGGGAGGTGGGGACACAGCTGCCAGGCACAAGCAGCTGCTCTGTTCAGATCCATCTGCAACACCTTTGTTAATTTTGGCGCAGAAAGCTCCAAACAGTTAAAGTAAATTTATAGCAGCTAAGTTTAATTTCTTTTTTTTTTTTTTCTTTTTTTGAGACGGAGTTTCGCTCTTGTTACCCAGGCTGAAGTGCAATGGCGCAATCTCGGCTCACCGAAACCTCCGCCTCCTGGGTTCAGGTAATTCTCCTGCCTCAGCCTCCTGAGTAGCTGAGATTACAGGCACCCACCACTGTGCCCGGCTAATTTTTTGTATTTTTAGTAGAGACGGGGTTTCACCATGTTGACCAGGATGGTCTCGATCTCTTGATCTTGTGATCCACCTGCCTCGGCCTCCCAAAGTGCTGGGATTACAGGCTTGAGCCACCGTGTCCAGGCTTTTTTTTTTTTTTGAGATGAAGTCTCTGTCGCCCAGGCTGGAGTGCAGTGGCACAATCTCGGCTCACTGCAACCTCCGCCTCCCAGGTTCAAGCAATTCTCCCGCCTCAGCCTCCTGAGTAGCTGGGATTATAGGCACCCACCACCATGCCTGGCTAATTTTTTGTGTTTTTAGTAGAGACGGGGTTTCACCCCAGGATGGTCTCAATCTCCTGACCTGGTGATCCACCCGCCTCCCGAAGTGCTGGGATTACAGGCATGAGCCACCGTGTCCAGCCAGTTTCACGTCTTAGGCCCCTAAAATAGGAAAGAGCAGCCACTCTGCCTTGAGGCAGATAAGCTAACTCCTAGAAGGTCATCCTATGCAGATTTGCCGCTGACCTGCACATGTGCAAAGCCATCTCCAACCATCTCTTTTCCATTCCCCTCCCCTGCCCCAGCAGCCCCCAGATGGTCACACACTCAAGACATCCCCCGCATCCCAGTCACACCCAACCCAAAGGTGGGGCAAGTCATGTGGGGCACTGCAGCCTCTCCCAGTGCCCCTCCCCTTGGCCCCCACACCACCCTCTCTGAGCAGCGGGCTATTTCTTCTGAGAAAACCTTACAGCAAGCCCCATGTCTGTTTCAGAAAACAGGGGAAGCCCTGTGGATAAAGAGAGAGGAGAGCACCTCCCTGCCACCCACCACCCCTCAGCAGTGCCGACAACCAACTCAGAAATCCTTCAATCTGACCAGGCACAGTGGCTCACACCTGTAATCCCAGCACTTTGGGAGGCCGAGGTGGGCAGATCATCTGAGGTCAGGAATTCAAGACCATCCTGGTCAACCTGGTGAAACCCCATCTCTACTAAAAATACAAAAAAAAAATTAGCCAGGCATGGTGGCACACCCCTGTAATCCCAGCTACTCCGGAGGCTAAGGCAGGAGAATCGCTTGAACCCGGGAAGCGGAGGTTGCAGTGAGCTGACATTGGGCCATTGCACTCCAGCCTGGGTGACAGAGCAAAACTCCATCTCAAAAAAAAAAAAAAAATCCTTCACTCCTGGGACATTGGGAAAGTGCTCAAACCAACTTCTCTGTGCCTCAGTTTCCTCCTCTAGAAATGGGAAAGGTACTGTTATCCACCCCAGCATAGAGTAGCTGGAAAATTAAAGCAGTCTGTGCATGGTAAGCACTTAGGATGGTACCCGGTGCACAGGGGTCTTTCATAATTGTTACGTCAACCATATCTGTGATGAGGATGAGGAAACTGAGGCACAGAAAGGCAAGCCCTGCCCATGCCGCGTGGTTTTTTGCAGGCGAGCTGGCCTGAGATCTGTGTCCCTGTCTCTGCTCAGCACCCGTGAGAAAGCAGGGCCAGGCACAGTGGCTCATGCCTATAATCCCATAGTTTTGGGAAGCCAACCGAGTTAGGCGGATCACAAGGTCAAGAGTTTGAGACCAGCTCAGCCGACATGGTGAAACCTCATCTCTACTAAAAATATAAAAAATTAGCCGGATGTGATGGCAGGTGCCTGTAATCCCAGCTACCTGGAGGCTGAGGAAGAAGAACTGCTTGAACCCGAGAAGCAGAGGTTGCGGTGAGCTGAGATTGCACCACTGCACTCCAGCTTGTGTGACAGAGTGAGACTCCGTCTCAAAAAAAAAAGAAAGAAAGAAAGCCTCTGCCTCATGCCACACACCAAGCAGGACCTGGAACAATGGCCTCCTAGTCACCTCACAACCTCAAACCAGCCACCCACATCCTCAAGTTGGACCCTTTAACTGGTGGCCTCAACACCCCGAACAGGACTCACCTCCCCTGATCTGGACCCACCTGGCATGCACAAACTCAGGGACTGGCACACGGGTGTACCCACGCCCACAGCCTCACAACCACTTGCAGTGCTGCAGCCACAGCCTCAGGCTCCTGGGGTAGGGAGGCTTCAAACTCTACAGTCACAACCCACCACAGAGCCTCAAGCAACATGGCTGAAGAGAGCCTCCTGTGTGCCCCGTAGCTGGCACTTCTTGTGGCCCTTGAGGTGGATCAGCTCATTAAATCCTTACAAGGACGCCCTGTGGCAGTCAAATACCAGTATGATCCCCCTGCTAAGTCCCATTCGGAAACCAAGAAAGTAGATGCAGTAGGAGGCATGGCCTCATCTGCCGCTGGCGGGAGTCGGGGGAGACCTCCCCACACAGGGAGCAGATGGAACAGCAACATGGAAGGGAGCTGGCACTGGGGCCAGCCAGGCCCGGTTCAAATCCAGGCTGTGCCGCTTCCTGGCTCTGTGACCTTGAGCAAGTCTTTTCCCTAATCTGAGTCTCAGAGTCTGTATTTGGAAATGAGGACTTGGCACATGGTGCTTTGGGGAGGATTAGAAGATGTGATGCTTGTAATCTGTGTGCCTCTTGATAATATCAACAATGGCTACTGATGACACAAGTTTCGACCAGTATGCTGGGCTGCACATGTCTGAAACTCTGTGTCTTAAACTCACTGGGCCAGGTGCAGTGCTTACGCCTGTAATCCCAGCACTTTGGGAGGCTGAGGCAGGCGGATCACCTGAAGTCAGGAGTTCGAGACCAGCCTGGCCAACATGGAGAAACCCCATCTCTACTAAAAATAGAAAAATTAGCTGGGCATGGTGGTGTCCACCTATAATCCCAGCTACCCAGGAGGCTGAGCCAGGAGAATCACTGGAACCCAGGAGGCAGAGGCTGCAGTGAGCTGAGATCGCGCCACTGCACTCCAGCCTGGGTGACAAGGGTGAGACTCTAAACTCTCGGAATCCTCTTAACCCCAGGTTTCTCAGTCCCGGGCCTGCCAGTGTTTCAGGCTGGGTGATTCTTTGCTGGGACTGCCCTGGGTCCTGCATGGTGCTTGGCAGCATCCCTGGTCTCTACACAGCAGATGCCAATAAAACCCCACTAGTTGTGACAACCAGAAATGCTTCGAGACATGGCCAAATGTTTCCAGGGAGTCAACATCGCCCCCGTTGAGAACCACAGTCATAACCCAATGAAGTAGGCACACCAAGCAGTAAAAGGACTTATCCATGTCAAAGAGCCAACGATGGTGACTCTGGGACACAGGCTGGCTGGCTACCGAGCTGCAAAAGCTGCCCCTTCCCTTGCCTCCCCAACCGGTCTCCCCAGGGCCTACCGCCAGCTGCAGGTCACGGCTTCGAAGCACAGCGGAGTTCTTCTCTTCACTGAGCTGGGCCAGGCGCATGGCGATCATGTAGTTCTCATCCTTGAGTCGCAGGAGCTCCAGGCTGCTCGCCTCCCAGTCCTCCCGCAGCCGCTGACAGCGCTCCTGAGCCTGCTGCTGGTCCCGCAGCCGCTGCTCCAGCCCTGCCCGCTCCTCCTCCAGCACCCGGCCCCGGGCCTGCAGTTGCTGCTCCCGCTGTAGCTGGCTCTTGCGAGCTTCCCGCAGCCGTCGAACCTCTGTCATCAAGAACTGGGTCAGGCCCTCAGGCCCCTCCTCATCTGCCAGGACAGAACAGGAAACAGAATAGGCAGGTCAGGTAAGTAAAATCCAGGAGACGACAGACTATGTCAAAAACCTCAAACCATAAAAACACGAGAGGGAAAATCTGGAATGTATTTTTAGAATTTGGGAGCAGGGGAGATCTTCCTAAACAACACACAAAATCCAGGAGTTATAAGAAGAAAGATGAACAAATCCATATAAATATGTTTAAACCTTTAGAAAATGAAAGATGTAACAAAGTTAAACAATAAGCAAAGCCTGTAATCCCAGCACTTTGGGAGGCCGAGACGGGTGGATCACGAGGTCGAGATATCGAGACCATCCTGGTCAACATGGTGAAACCCCGTCTCTACTAAAAATACAAAAAATTAGCTGGGCACGGTGGCGCGTGCCTGTAATCCCAGCTACTCGGGAGGCTGAGGCAGGAGAATTGCCTGAACCCAGGAGGCGGAGGTTGCGGTGAGCCGAGATCGCGCCATTGCACTCCAGCCTGGGTAACAAGAGCAAAACTCCGTCTCAAAAAAAAAAACAATAAGCAACAGAGTGGGAGAAAATATAACAAATATAACAAGAACTTAGAGCCATCATATATAAAGAGCTCCTACAAATCAATAAGAAAAGAACCACCACCAAGTAAAAATATAGACGAAAACTATCAATAGGCAAGTGCCAAAATAAAAATGGCTAATAAATACAGGAAAATATGCACAAACCCACCAACAACAATTACAGTGGTTACTAATATTTGCTAACTTCATTCTTTGTTCTAGATATAGATATATATCGATATATAAACGTAATCTTTATGATAATACCATAAGGTAGGTACTATTACTGTACTCATTTTAAAGAAAGAAAAGCTGGAGCACAGGGCAGTTATTTACCCAAGGTTTACTAATGAGTAACCGATGAACTATACTGCTCAATGAATATTAACTTAAAACAGTAACATCATTTTTGCATATCGGAATGGCAAAAATGTTTAAACACGATCCCCAGGATTCAAATGGGCACTTACACACTCCTGGTAGGAAGTATGTTGACTTAACAGTTAAAATACGCACACTCTAAGAAATTCTTCTCAGAACCTCTCCTGAAACACATCTGCACAAAGACGCATAGGCAAGGATGCTCCCTGCATTGTAGTGAGAACACAAAACTGGAAACCAGGTATCCATCAACTAGAAGTGGGTTAAATAAATTATGTCCTAACTTTGCTAATGAACAGGACGCAGTCACTTAAAACAAGTGTATGTAACAGAGGTGAAGGAATCACTAAAATCAGTTGTTCTCAGAAAAAGCAAAATACCTGTGTGTGTTTGTGTGTGTGTGTGTGTGTGTATTTTTTTACATATAAAAAAATTCAGGCCAGGCACAGTGGCTCACACTTGCAATCCCAGCACTTTGGGAGGCCAAGGTGGACGGACCACGAGGTCAGGAGTTCAAGACCACCCTAACCAACATGGTGAAACCCCGTCTCTACTAAAAATACAAAAAATTAGCTGGGCATGGTGGCGCAGGCCTATAATCCCAGCCATGGAGGCTGAGGTAGGAGAATCACTTGAACCTGGGAGGCAGAGGTTGCAGTGAGCCAAGATCGCACCACTGCACTCCAGCCTGGGTGACAGAGCGAGACTCCATCTCGAAAAAAAGAAAATTCAAAGTCACCTGGAGCCTTTGGATTTTTATACACAAAACCTGGACATCTGTGTATGTCAGACATACGTCTGAAAACAGTATCAAGAAAAAGCCATCTTAAGCATGTGGCTCTGAACTTGGAAGAACAAGACTAGCATCCAGCCCCACCCTCAGCCCACCCTGGGGTCCTAAGCAAGCCCCTTCAGTTTCTCCATGCCTCAGTTTCCTTTACTGTTCAACAAGGATAGTGGGAGCGCCTCCCTAACAGGGATGGGATCAGGAGCCTGTGCAATGGAGGCCGAGGCCCAGCATCCACTGCAGATCCACTCACCGAGGATCATGGAGCAGCGCTGCGCGGGTTCCTGGCCAGTGAGCAGCGTGAAGTGTTCGGGGTAGTAGAACTCCAGGGCTTCCAGGAAGGCCTCATAGCCCCTCTTGCCACGGCAGCGCAAGATATCCATCAGGCGCCCTGGAGAGCAGCGGGGGGAATGGACCCAGGGTCCAGGGGAGGGCTTCCCCAGATGCCTGGTTGCTTCTGGCCCCACCATGCTCCAGGCCCACGTTCCCCAGATTTTTGAGCTAGTAACACACACAGGGGCCTGTCCCAACACATCAGGGAAGAGAAGAGAGCCCGTCTGCCACAGCCAGGGGAGCCAAACTCCCTAATGGCTCCTGGGCTCCCTAACACCCCCCACAGACACAGATGCGGGCCACAAATGCACCCTGCCTTTTGAATGGCACAGAGAAGCCCCCTCCGTCTCCAAAAGCCAAGTAAATACTTCTCCCATTGGCCATGCCTGAAATTCTACCATTAAAGACCATTCCATCATGCCTTTGTCAGCTCTGGTTCAAAGGCACACTCTGTGGGAAAAGGGACCCTCATAAAGCTGAGATGGGTCTTGACTCTGGAAAAATAACTCTCCCGGGAGTGTGTGGCGCACAGCAGAGGGGGCAGACAGAACCCGGAGATCAAAGCGCGCAGGAAAGGTGCCAAGTCCGCCGGCTGTGACCGGGAGGTCCCAGGCCCAGCCGGCCCTGGCAGCCACATCAACCCTGTGCTTTCATGTGGGCCCAGGAAGTGGGAGGGAACCCCAAGAGACAAAACCCTGACGCCGTTGTGGGCAACGCGGACCGCCTGGGCGCGGCGGTGGTTGGGAAGGAGGCAGGCTGGTGGGCATCCCCAACACGGCCCCTCTACCACTGCGGAGACAGAGCCCCGGGACAGCACAGCTCTAGCTTCTGGCTCCATGGCTCTGGGCGCTGCGCCCAAGGGCACGGTCGGCCCGGGACGTGACCCCCTCGGGCCCCGCGGCTCACCGGTGCGGTTGACGCGGCACGGGAAGCGGTAGGTGCTCAGCACCTCCTCCTCGTCCTGCTCGTCGATGACCCGGCACTGGCGAAGATACGGCGTGAGCTTGGCCGGGTTCAGGGCGCGCGCCAGCCGGTGCCGAACGCCCTCGATCCGCTCCCACAGCGCGTCCTCCTCCGCCTCGGACCCCGAGCCGGCCCCGGCCTCCTCCTCGGCCTCCCCCGCCTCCGCCCGGCCCGGCATGGCCGCGTCCTCGGGGTCTGCGGGCGACAGGCGCACGGGGGTCGACCAGGGCGCCCTGGGGCTGGGTGTGCCGCCGAGCCCACCCCGGGGCGTTGCCCACAGGACTCGCCGTCGGGGTCGCCAGCGTCCCCTCCCCCGCGCCCGGCGGCCGTCGGGGGCGCGCCCTGAGATCCCCGGGACTCACCCCGCACGCCGCAGCCGCCTTGGGCTCCCGGGTCCGCGCTCGGGCGGCGGCTCCGCCGGCGCAGGGGGGCGGTGCCCGCGGCGCCCCCGGCTCCGCCCCCGTCCCCGCCGCCCCCGGGGCTACCCGGGCCTCCCCACATCGCAGCCCGCCCCGGGCCGCGCGTCCCGCCGCCGGCCGCCCCGCACGTCCGCCCGCACGCCCTCCCTCCCTCCCGGCCGTCCGGCCGCGCCTCCCCCTCCCGCTTCCTGTTTCCCGCCGGCTCTCCCGGCCTGACTCGGCGGGGTCCCGGCCGCCTGCCCACACCTGCCCGGCCTCGGGGCGGGGCGAGGGCGGGCACGCGCGCTCACACCCCCCGCGCGCCGCTACACACCTTCCCCGGCCCACGCGCATCGCCTCCCCACGCCCACGCGCATCGCCTCCCCACGCCCACAGAGCGTCCGCCCGCGCGGGGATAGCCGCTCACGCCTGGCGTTGCCCTTCCCCGTCCCAAGAGACTGCAGGCTCCGGAGCTTCCCTGGAGCACAGGACAGCCCCGCCGGGGGCGGCAGGGGGGCAGCAAAGGGCAGAGGTCATGGGCGCCTTCTGCAAGATAGGGGGTTCTGAACTTGCAAGGCGGCACTGCCAACTCCCCTCCTACACAAAGTCCCGTGGCACATGGGGACCATGAACCCCGCAGTTCTCAAAGGGCGTTCCTCCAGGTGCTGGTCCCAGAGATCCTGGGGGTGGGTTATGACTAGTCATCCATACTCGCGCTCCCGCCTGGGAGGCCGATGGTCACTTACCGTGATACTGGCTGAGTCTACACGGTATCTGCAGGCACATGCGATACCATCTTGCTATGCATTAGAAGCTGCCAGGTACCTGCTGCCAGGGAGAAACAGAGGAGGCACACCTGGTACAGGAAAGAGGCGTGAGCTTCCCAAACCCCTTCCACAACTTCTGAATTAGATGCCATGGACATATGCATTACTTATCCAAATAAACGAGGTTTCAATCAGTCAAGGCTCTGAAAACCTTGCATTAAAGCCAGGTGTGGTAGCTCACGCCTGTAGTCCTAGCACTTTGGGAGACTGAGGCAGGTGGATCACTGGAGGCCAGGAGTTCGAGACCAGCCTGATTAACACAGCGAAACCCCATCTCTAGTAAAAACACAAAAATTAACCAGGCATGGTGGTGCGCGCCCGCCTGTAATCCCAGCTACTCAGGAGGCTGAGGCAGGAGAATCGCTTGAACCCAGGAGGTGGAGGTTGCAGTGAGCCGAGATTGCGCCACTGCACTCCAGCAGCAGCCTGGGCAACAGAGTGAGACTTGGTCTCAAAAAAAAAAAAAGGCCCTGCATAAGGAGACAGATTTAACTTTATATATCATGGTGTCCTTTTCCAAACTTAATTAACCACAGCCGTTTTTTGGTTTTGGATCTATTGTTCACTTGTTTTTGCTTTGGATGTCGTGTCGCCCATTTACATGCAGCAGAAATGCTCCGGGAAAACTGAATTCTGATGCAAATTCCTCCATTCACAGAGTGGGAAGCAGAGCTCAGAGAGGGCTAGGAACTTGCCCAAATTCACACAGCGAGGCCATAGTGAGACTAGGCCGGAGCCCAGCCTCTGGCCTCTCTCCTCATCGAGCCCTGAGTCCAGGCACACACGAGTCCTCCCTTTCAACACGTCCTTTCCCTCTCTGTGGCCTTGGTTGCCCTCCCACGCAGAGCAGCAGCTCCTCCCACCAACAGCCCTACTGGTTGTGAATATTTTTAACGTGGCCAGCAAGGCGGGATGGACGCTTTGGAAAATGATGCTATTGTTAACTATTTTTTTATCAAGAAGCCTAAGCAGGGCCCAGGGATAAGGCACAGAAGCCAAGAGGTCTCTGCAAATAAGTGGACAGAGAAGTGAGCGCACACTGGGTCTGAACAGGCAGGGAGCTGGGTGCCCTGGGCGCCCCGGGGGCCTGGCCTTCCAAGGGAAACGACAGGGTTCCTGTGGGCACCACACTCACACATTCACACGTACAATTACACAGGCACGCAGAGTCACATACATATGCACACATGCACACATACACACTCGCCCACTTCGGGCATCTGGCCAGGCAGGAGGCGGACAGGGGGGTACCCACTTCCCCACAAACATCTGAGCCTCCTCATCCTTCCCCTGTCCCTTGGCGTCCACAGCACCGAGGGTGGAAGTGTGTGATTGGGCGCCACATCCATTATTGTCCTCTTGTGGGTTCCGCTACACTCGTCTTCTCTCTAGAGCTATGCCAGGAAGCTGGGCAGGGACTGCAGCAGGGACACAGAGAATCTAGACTTTGTACCAGGGCCCCGGGTCCTATGGTGAGCTCACCGCCCTGAGTATTATTCTTCTTTGAGTCTCCATTTCCCTGTCTGCAAAAGGCAGGTGGTGAGTAGTCCCAGCCACACCTACAAAGGCAAACAGTCCAGGAGCAGAGTCCTCTGGAGATCAACATTCAGCCTTAGCTGCGTCTACTCAGACAAATTCCTCCCCCTCTCAATTTCTACATCTGAAAAATGGCACAATAGTCCCCCATGTGCAGAGACTGCCTCTGAGTTGCAGTTCCTCCGTCTGTGAAATGGGTACAGGAATGTCAGTCCTCTTCACAATTCATCGAAAGGCATGCCCCCTTGTCCTAGCACCTGTAGTGCCGCTGGTCCAAGCAACACACACCCCTCCATGCTCCCACCCACTGTGCTCTGGGCTATGCGTTGTTCTCTGCTCTGCAGCCTTAATGATGTTTGATTGGTTGGGAGGGTTTTTTGAGACAAGGTCTCACTGTCACCCAGCCTAGAGTACAGTGGCCCAATCATAGCTCACTGCAGCCTTGAACTCCTGGGCTCAAGCAATCCTTCTGCCCCAGCCTCCCACGTAGCTGGGACTCCATGTGCACCACCATGCCCAGCTACTTTATCTTTTTGTTTTTAAGACAGATTCTTGCTCTGTCACCAGGCTGGAGTGCAGTGGCACAATCTCAGCTCACAATCTCAACCTCCACCTCCTGGGTTAAAGCGATTCTCTTGCCTCAGCCTCCTGAGTAGCTGGGATTACAGGTGCGCACCACCACACCTAGCTAATCTTTGCATTTTTTTTAGTAGAGACGGGGCTTCACCATGTTTGCCAGGACGGTCTCAATCTCTTGACCTCATGATCTGCTGGCCTCAGCCTCTCAAAGTGCGGGGATGACAAACATGAGCCATTGTGTCCAGCCCCCAGCTACTATTTTTTTTTTTAATTATTATTTGTAGAGAGAGGTCTTGCTACGTTGCCTAAGCTGAAAGAATGATGGTTTTAAAAACAGAACAGGGTTTTCTCTGGCTTAAAACCTCTTAATGGCTTCCCACCAAACTAGAATAAAATGCAAGCTGACTCCGGACCTGCCAGCTCCCCGGCCTCCGCCCCCCCCCACCTCCCCCGCCTCCCCGGCCTCCCCCGCCTCCCCCCGCCTCCCCCGGCCTCCCCCGCCCACTCACTCACCGGCCTCATTCTCTACCTGGAACAGGTCAGCTTTTTCTACCTCAAGGCCCTTGTCCAGCCTGTTGCCTCTGCTGGGACTGCATGTCCCTCCGCTCCTGGTATGGAGGGTTCCTTCTAGGTTTTCTGGTCTCAGATCAAATGTCACCTCCCTTGATTCAGGAGCCCCCCAGGCAGGGGGTTCCATGCACTCTTTAAAGCCACTCGGTGCTTTGTGGGGACCAAAGACAACTTCCCCTTCACCTTCTAAAGGTTCGCCAGAAACGCGCTGACAATAGACAGATTAGGCTGGACAAAGTGCCTGTAATCCCAGCACTTTGAGAGGACAAGACAGGCGGATCACCCGAGGTCAGGAGTTCGAGACCACCCTGGCCAAAATGGTGAAACCCTGTCTCTACTAAAATACAAAAATTAGCTGAGTGTGGTGGTGGGCACCTGTAATCCCAGCTATTCAGGAAGCTGAGGCAGGGGAATTGCTTGAACCCAGGAGGCAGAGGTGGCAGTGAGCTGAGATCACGCCATTGCACTTGGGCAACAAGAACGAAACTCTGTCTCAAAAAAGAAAAAAATAGGCAGATGAATAGAAGAAAAAAAAGCATAAAAATGTATTTAACATGCATAGCACAGGGAAATCGTGGGGAAATGATTATCCAATAATCCATCGAGGTCTGGATGTTTATATCCGATTCTACACTGGGGGAGGGGAGACGGGGCTATAGGAGTCAATGATTGTTAGGAGGCATTAATGCACCTGGGAGGCAGACATTATCTTACAAATGACTTTCTTTGGAAATTGAATGGGACCGAAGGAGAAGCACTCATTTGGGGCAAAGTTATTCTGACTCTAGACGTGGTGTTTAATTTTCTCTTCCTCTGTGATGTGAATTTTATTCTCCAGTTAATGAAATTTCAGGGAAGGGATCGAAAATCGTGTTCCTCTTTGCGGGTCCAGTTTCTAGTAGATAAAGGAACTTCGGGAAACAGCCTCCTCCTGTGCTGTGGGAGAGACAGAATTGACAGACAGGATAGAGGAAAGGTGGGCAGAGAGACCTTGAGGCTGCGTCTTTACTCAGCCTGTCAGAGCGATGCATTTGGCAGGTATCGTGTTCTGAGCCTAGCAGCGATTTTCTCCCTGACATTTTCCCGGTGCTTGCTTTACTGCACCGGGAAGATGTCAGCAACCTGTATGTTGCCTGCTTTCATCCCAAGAACAGAGCCGTCCTTGGCTAGCAGGAGTGGGCTGGAATGTTCCAAGAGCGGGGAGGATGAGGAGCAGAGCAGGGCGAAGAGGAGGTTGGAGAAGGATTGGAAGTGGGGCAGATGGAGCAGAAGGCTTTGAAGGTCATTATCAGTGGTAATACTTCACCATCAGTGTCTTCCCCAAAGCAGCCACATAGGCCACAAAACAGGAATCCACCTTTTCGTTCATTCCTTCAAGCATGCCCCTGGCCCCAGCAACCCTTCTGTTCCTCTTTGTCAGCCTCTGATTGCATCCAGAAATGTGGTTCTGGCTGCCTGGGGAACCTGCGCTCCCCAAGCCCAGCCCCCAGCCCCATCTTGCCTCCTCTGGCCATCTCTTCACTAGGATCATGGCCTGGGCCTCGTCCATCCCAGCACAGGACTCGGCACTCAGGTGTTCAGCAGGAGATGAGTGAGTGGGCCCGAGAGTGGGGAGAATTCCTGTGATGAGCCGCTCTACACCGCAGC